CATTTAAGATTTCAGAGATTGAGCTGCAAAGATATAGGGATATGAAAATCAAAGTTTGTGGCAAAGACTCAATTCCAGCTCGTTGGAAAACTTAGCCCGTTAGCTTAAATTGTTAAAGGACGCTCCTGTAGTCTAATATCCAATATATTGTGGCATTTTCTCTTGAATTTGAAATCAATTAAATCTATATTTTCTTTTTAAAACATACGAGTTTACGTTCGAATTTTTACATTCAATGTTTCTGTAAAAAGAAAAGAGGATTTAAAGGGAATGTAAGCATAATTACAAGTGTACCTCCATGCAAAGATGGCAATGCCCGATTTACAACGGTACCCTTAATCTCATCAAAGTGGAAGATACTGTCGTTTTTTAGACTTAAAAAGTATTTATTTCTGTGAGTTTCTCCGTTGCTTCTTATAAACAGATTAAAGACACAAAATTCATAGTTGATCAGGCAAAGCTTCCAAGTTTACCGTTGTCATCTTTGCATGGAGGGTTATTACACTTACAGTTCATTTAAACCCTTTTCAAAATAATACAATTCTCTGCCTATGTTGTTAAGGATAGTTTCTGGAAATTAAATTTTTCGCAAACACTCCCTTTTATCCAACAGCAACGACACACAAATGCACCTTGCCACCTGCACAATTTGCACAATGCACATTAAATTTATGGCTAATTTTATATTTGGATTGCATTCATGATATTCTTTGCTTTAAGCCATATTAATCCTGTTTTTTTTTCAATTGATAAAAATACAGGGATAAACCCACTAAGAATTAAAATTCAAAACTTAAAAGTCACCAGCTATACGACTGTCCATTTTCTGTTACTTAAAGGGACTGTAAGCGTAATTTTAAGTGACCCTTCATACTAAGATAAAAATTCACAATGGTATCATTTAAAGCTTTGTCTGATCAAGTATGAATCAGGTACACTATTTCGACGCTCTGTTTTATATTAAAGAGAGTGTTTGCGAAAAAATTAAAGGGGGTATAGGCTGATATTGAATTGAATATTTTACTTCTATCTATTGCACCAATGAGGAGAAAATGGTTAAAAACGACTCAGACCGAACAGCGCATGGAACCTATACAAATCCAAGGAGTTGCAGGAATGCACCAAATTTAAATCGACATTTACAGTTTGTAAGTTCTAAATGATTAGTTTTAAATCTAATAGAATTATATACAGTGTGCGTAAAATAATGGAACTCCGTGGTCCGTGGATTTGTATGGGTTCTGTGCTCTTCGGTACATATGACTATGAGTTGTTATTAACCATTTTCTCCTCTTAGACTCAAGAGAATAATCTCTGTTCTGTTCATAGACGCAACACTAAAATTAGTAGCTAGCGTTATCGAATTCAACTCGATATTAGCCTAAATACCCCCTTTTATTCTTCGCGAACACTCCCTTTAAAGATATAAGTTCTTCTCTTGACTATTCTGTTTTTCTAAAGAGAAGAAAAATTTTGATCAAACAATTTTTGCAAAATATATGATTTTTCTATTAACCAATATAAAATTTAAGAATGTAACAATAACACTTTAACCTATGCTTTCATTCATTGGTAAATGTTATAGATATCATTTTCAATAATATGAAGTATCAAATATTAACTTAAAGAACCACGGAAACGTTGCCTTGGTTTTTAATTCAAAATTGTCTGTGTTTAATTTTATAGATCTTTCAAGCAATGCTGGGTTCCCAAGCTAGAAACCAATTGTTACAATAATCTATTTATTTAGCTATCTTCTTTAATTCTAGTGCGAAATTTTCTTTAAAATTTGAAGATGCTAGGCAGGTGTTATTAAGATCTTTGTAGAACGGTTTTTTTTGCAGATTCTTTCATCAGAGATGGAAGTCAATTATTACGAACTAACTCAGGAAGTGAATTATTACGAACTAACCCAGGAAGTGAATTATTAAGAACTAACTCAGGAAGTGAATTATTACGAACTAACTCAGGAAGTGAATTATTACGAACTAACTCAGGAAGTGAATTATTACGAACTAACTCAGGAAGTGAATTATTAAGAACTTACTCAGGAAGTGAATTATTACGAACTAACTCAGGAAACTCTCTCTGTAAAAGTCAACTTGGTCAACTTGTATCTTGTATTTTATAGTCCCGTGGTTCTACCCAGCTCCTCGATCAAAATTTGAGAGTAATTGGATCTAGGGGGATACATGAAGTATTATCGGACATCTAAACCTCAATTTCTATATAACCCCAAGACACAATTTTTCTAAAAAACCTTCTATGTTTTTTTCGGAAGTAAGTAATCCAATTAAAGATTTTAAGAAGTCGCAGCACACGTAAGAATATATGATTTAACATTATAATTATTTATAGATATTTTATGGTGTAACTGTTTAATGATAATTTTAAAGATATTTTCAAAGGAATAAAATTAAACAATTGTATTAGAAAAATTCACGAAGCATATAATTTTAATGAAGATTTTAATTCTCAAAAAGAGAGGGTATATATAATTAGAAATGAAATATTTAAATTTTAAATAAATGATCGATTATATTTATATATAGATATCAATCTGCGTATTTGGACTGCTTAGAAACCAGTTCTTGCGTATAAAAACAATAGCAAAGAAATTAGATTTTTGTAAACAAACTACATTTAATAAATAGTGATTCTGTGTAGGGCAGTAATAAATTATTCATTGACAAATTTTTCCTATTTTTTTCATAGTACTCTGAGAGGGCCAGGGGAAGGTATCCACAATCCCTAGTCCCACACTGATTCAAGTGTTTTAGCATCTTAAAAATTTAAGATTTTCAGTTAAATATTTCAGAACTCGAAATTATTTGAATTAATAAAGATAATTTCCATAAAAGGCCGACCCGATTCCCAAACCTTTAAACCTTTATTTTATAAATAATGTAGAAAAGTTATCTTCGTTTCGTTAAACCAAAAAATGGTTTATTTAAAAAATAATTAAGGAAAAAAAGATACAAGGATAACTCATTCATTCTTAATATGATAAAGCTCTCTAATCTCTATCTTTTAGACATTGAATGGTGGAGATTGTTCCCACCCTCTGGACCTGCAGATTCAGTTGAATGGTAGAGATTGTTCCCACCCTGGACCTGCAGATTCAGAATGGTAGAGATTGTTCCCACCCTGGACCTGCAGATTCAGTTGAATGGTAGAGATTGTTCCCACCCTGGACCTGCAGATTCAGTTGAATGGTAGAGATTGTTCCCACCCTGGACCTGCAGAATTAAGAATTCGCTAAGAAAGTTTACAACTGCCGAGAGTCATGAATGTAAGAAGAGTCTGAAAAAATATCATACACTCGTCCTAATGGGTAACCCTCCAGTTAAAAATTATGGGGGGGGATATAACCAGTCATCCAACTCCTCTAGTAAACCTTGATGCTATGTATCCGGACTAACTAGTACACACACAATAACGTACACAATTTCTAAATAAGGTTATTTGAATTTAGATTTTAGGGCAAGCAGTCAAATTTTTCATTAGCAAACTGAGATTCTCCAAAGCACAAATGTTTTAAAACTTTTTTTCCAATTCCAAATAATCAAAACACTAAAAACATTTCCGAACAATGTGACTTTTTTAAACAAGATTCAAACAAATTTTTCCATTCCTTCAAAACTCAAAATGGAAAAAATTAACATTGTATTTACTTATTATCTCCATGCTAGAGTATAACTCCTTTACAAAAATCATTGAGGTATCTTATACAAAATGTTAGAAGCATTTTGATAGCAAATAAGAATATAAATGTTTAAATAGCTAACTAGTTACTACTTATGTTTAATAGCTAAATAGCTAACTAGTAACTAATTCTGTTAATAGCTAGATAGCTATTTAGTAACTACTTCTGTTTAATAGCTAGATAGCTAACTAGTAACTACTTCTGTTTAATAGCTAGATAGCTAACTAGTAACTACTTCTGTTTAATAGCTAGATAGCTAACTAGTAACTAATATAAATGTTTAATAGCTAAATAGCTAACTAGTAACTACTTTTGTTTAATAGCTAGATAGCTAACTAGTAACTGCTTCTGTTTAATAGCTAGATAGCTAACTAGTAACTACTTCTGTTTAATAGCTAGATAGCTAACTAGTAACTACTTCTTTTTAATAGCTAGATAGCTAACTAGTAACTAATATAAATGTTCAATAGTTGGATAGCTAACTAGTAACTAATATAAATGTTTAATAGCTAGATAGCTAACTAGTAACTACTTCTGTTTAATAGCTAGATAGCTAACTAGTAACTACTTCTGTTTAATAGCTAGATAGCTATTTAGTAACTACTTCTGTTTAATAGCTAGATAGCTAACTAGTAACTAATATAAATGTTTAATAGCTATAAAGCTAACTAGTAGCTGCTTCTGTTGAATAGCTAGATAGCTGACTAGTGACTACTTCTGTTTAATAGCTAGATAGCTGTAACTACTTCTGTTTAATAGCTAGATAGCTAACTAGTAACTAATATAAATGTTTAATAGCTAAATAGCTAACTAGTAACTACTTTTGTTTAATAGCTAGATAGCTAACTAGTAACTGCTTCTGTTTAATAGCTAGATAGCTAACTAGTAACTACAATTCTGCTTTGCACGAAAGTCCAACTATAATTTCCTTAAACTGTTTTTTCTGAACAAACGCTTTTATATAGAAGTTTTTCAATCTGGAAGAAGATATTTGCATGAACGAATTAATAACGAATCAAATGAACGATAGCTTTTTTCTTAATTTTATATAGTGTAAGATATTCAACTGTTTTGACATTGGCAAAACTTCTTAAAATTTTGTGAAGTTTTTTTTTTGTGTTAACAAGGAACGAAACTGTATACCAACACTATAAATTGCAATAAATAGCATTATACTCTAACCTCTCTATTGTAATTATTAAAATCCTAAACAAACTTCAATTTGTTTAACCGAAGAATAAATACAAGATTAAATATTCATACATAGAGTTTATTAGTTAAAACATGTTAAAAACATGGATATACATAATACATATACATATACATATACATATACATGGAGATTAATAGTAACTATATATATTATCTACATGACTACTTGAACAGTTGACGTCTGCAGGTTCGTTGTAGTCGCATTCTATACTTAGCATCTATCAGGACTAAGGTCTTGGATTTTACTGGTGTTATTAGATCTATTGTATCATCAACGATTATACATCTTTCGTCTTTCCTTGGTTTTATCGGTGAAGGGAGATCCATGGTAGCTTTAATGGTGTTCTGGTCACAAGCGTAAATGGTTGGTGGAAACAATGATCTGATATGCACAGGAGGAATTGAATCATCAACGATACACCTTTCGTCTCTCCTTGGTTTTATCCGTGAAGGGAGATCCATGGTAGCTTTAATGGTGTTCTGGTCACAAGCGTAAATGGTTGGTGGAAACAATGATCTGATATCTCTGATATGGACAGGAGGAATTGAATAATCAACGATACATCTTTCGTCTCTCCTCGGTTGTATCCGTGAAGGGAGATCCATGGTAGCTTTAATGGTGTTCTGGTCACAAGCGTAAATGGTTGATGGAAACAATGATCTGATATGCACAGGAGGAATTGAATCATCAACGATACACCTTTCGTCTCTCCTCGGTTGTATCCGTGAAGGGAGATCCATGGTAGCTTTGATGGTGTTCTGGTCACAAGCGTAAATGGTTGGTGGAAACAATGTACTGACATGGACTGGAAGAATTGGCTTTATGATAAAAACTATTATAAAGCCAGCTATACAGATATATTGAATAACTGATAGTATAACTTTCTTCAGAAGAACCATCCGAGCCTTCTGTTCTTTGTGCTCTTTCTCCCTTCGCTGTATGCAGGTCCAATACTCCTGGCTGGGTGACTTGTGGTTTTCTTGGTAGCAGCCAGAATATCCAGATAAAATAATAGGATGGAAGGATTGATCTTGAACATCAGCAGGGCCGGAAGCGGTGCAACAGTAAAAACCAAAAGTTACCACAACTGCAGCCAACAGAGTGAATCCCAGAATCTTCATAGTAGGAAAACTTGATGAGTTGGTTTGAAGGTAATTGTGTGATAATATGATATTGAATGATAAACTGATTTAATCAACCTGCTGTTTATATAGACAGAGGTATCATGTAGACGGTCATCTTTAGTTGAGAAACGATGGAAGGGAGGTGCTGGGGGGAGGGAGGGAGCTGAATGGGTTGTTTTCACTAGTTTTTATTCAGGGTTAAAACTACATCTATTTAAATTTCTAGGGTAACTCCATCGAATCTATGTAACAAAGTCCCAGGAAAAAAAGTTTCAGGAAAAAAACCTGGAAATAAAAACTCGGGAAAAAAGTCCGAATTTTCTTAAGTCCTTTGAGTAAATGTCACTGGAAATAAAGTCCTGTGTTTTGGATTCCTGAGACTTTTTTTTCCCTAAAATAGTATGGAGGGCTGTCAATTAATTAAGTCTCAGGAAAAAAATCACAGGAATAAAAGTCTGGAAGAAAATAAATCCGAGGAAAAGAAAAACCTAGAAAAAAAGTTCTAAGTCTCGGGAAATTTGAACTCAGTAATTTAAGTCTGCGGAAAAAAAGTCCTAAAAACTGTTGTGTACAATTCCGCGTACAAATGTACTATGTACAATGTACATCATATATACTGGGCAGTTTCATATTCTTAAATAAAATGAAAAAGCAAATGCTAACTTAATGTGTGATAAATATTAAAAATTAAAATATGTATTTTCCATTTATTTATTTAGGGGTGTTCTAATAACAAGCCCCTGAAAACCTACGATCATTGTAAGGATGTTTACAACTAGGATTTTTTTCCATTGTGAATCATGCATTTTCACTTGTTATAGGACTTTTTTCACAATTTTTTTCCCCCCCCCCCCCTAATTATTTACAATTGTCATTTCTCTACAAAAGTGACTTGTGCATTTCTACAGAAAAAAATATCCTAATTAAACACTTTCAAATCTTGAAAAACGACAATATCCAGTTTTGATCAGACAATGCTTTACAGGATACAGTTGTGAATCAGGGTCATCTTTGCAGGGATGGTTACATAAAATTCTGCGTGCAGTCCCTTTAATTCGCTATATTTCTATATATTATAGTATTTTTTACGACTTAAAGATGTTTAACGGCTAGATAATGAAAATGTTACTTGGTTCAATTAGTAGTTTAGGAGGATAGTAATGTTTAAAACATTGAATTAAAATCTTGAATTGTTTTTATTTAAAATAAAAAATCTTTTCTTGTCAAATAAATCCTCTTGGTCAATTTTACAGTGTGTCGATAAAATACTGAATACAAGAGAATCTAACTTATTCTTTTATTTAAGTCTCGATGTACATGCTAGCCTCGTGTACAAAGTACAATTTAGGTAAACTACAATGTACATGCTAGCCTCATGTACAAAGTACAATTTAGGTAAACTACAATGTACATGCTAGCCTCATGTACAAAGTACAATCTAGGTAAACTACATGTACATGCTGGCCTCATGTACAAAGTACAATTTAGGTAAACTACAATGTACATGCTAGCATCATGTACAAAGTAGGGCTGGGCACGTTCCGACTTTTTTGAAATCGTTCCGTTCCAATCTAGACCGAGGGCCTTCATCTAAATCGTTCCGTTCTCGTTCCTCTTTTTTATCCTTCCGCTCTCGTTCCGTTCCGTTCTGAGTAGAAGAACGGTCTTCCCTTTACGTTCCGTTCTTGGCATTCTTATTTGAAGACCCTTGTTCTGTTCTTAAACAAGAACGTTTCCATCCCCCGTTCCGTTCTTAGTAATGAACAATTCCATCCAAGACAAAAGTTTTATAGGAAAGAGTTGGTTAAAAAGTAAAAAAAAATACGATTTTTAAATAAAAAGTTCCTCACGGCCGTAAATAATACTTTAAATTATATATTTTAAATTTAGGGTGAAAAGAATAAGCTTAGATAATTTCTGGGCTGAGCAATGTATAATTTTGTGAGAGCGAGGGGAGGGGCGGGATCGTCCTTAATATGTACGATTTACAGAAGTTAAACTGAACCCTGTTGTCTGAGTGTTGTCAGTTTAGCAGAGACCAGGGAAGGGGGGAGGGATGGGCGATGGCGGGTTTAAAGTGGGGGGAGGGGGGTCAGGTAATTGAATAAAAAATCAACTATTTCTACAGGATTTAGAATACATTCTTGATATAAAATGCGTTCCCAACTTAGAACGAGTTCTTGATAATAATAACGCGTTAACGATTTTAACCATTCTTTTCAAGCAATTCCCGTTCCGTTACGTTCTGTTCTTTTACTAATTGTTCCAATATTTTTAAGAACGCGTTCTAAGCGTTCGTTTTTTTTGGAACGATGGGATCGTTCCTGGTGGAACGGTCGTTCTTGGGAAAGAACGATCGTTCGACCAGGAACGCGCCCAGCCCTAGTACAAAGTACATTGTAAGTAAACTAAAATGTACATGCTAGCATCATGTACAAAATAGATTGTAAGTAAACTACAATGTACAGGCTAGCATCATGTAAAAATACATTTTAGGTAAACTACAATGTTCATGCTAGCCTCATGTACAAAGTACATTGTAAGTAAACTACAATGTACATTCTAGCCTTATGTAAGTAAACTACAATGTATATGCTAGCATCATGCTAGTACATTGTAAGTAAATGTTGGCAAAATACCGTTTTACCATTTTTTATTTGAAATAAAACAGTTTGAAATAAAAATATTTCGCTTGTGATTGTGACGAATCATTATATATCTTGATATCAATTAAACATGCCCTTCCTCCTGTCCTCAGCGCTTCGCCCCCTAAAAGCCTATATTTAAATCATGTGATATGCCAGATATAACTCTTTTTTAGTTTACTGTGAACCAATTGGTTTAAAATGGGTATTCAAGTAGTTAGTATTTAATCACTTTGTCCAGTGGGAGGGGAAAATTGCCACAGTAGACTAAATACAATTTCAATCTTTGTAAAAGAAGCAAAACTCTAGAACCGTAAAATTAAGAGAAAAATATAATTTACAAAAAATGTGAACATAACATCTTTTCTGCAGTTTACCTTTTCGTGGTTAGGAATAATTTCTATACCTAATTCATTTATCGAAATGGGTCATTTTAACAATGTTGATGAAAAGTATGACAGATTTTGGTACTCACTGTATATATATTGGAAATATAACAAAGGTTACCAAATAAAAGTATACCTTGCATTTTGTTACGAAAGAATTCCGTTTATTAACAACATAAAATCGTTCCTACTTTTCATTGAGCCGGTGATTGTTCATGAGATTGAAGTTTTATGATCAATTCTCAGACTGACTCTTGGAAAATTTGAATATAGGTTTACTAGTCTAAAGCAAGATCTTATTTCTATACTTAAACTGCAAAGTTTATGCGCTGAACGCCGTCTTTACGGGGTTTCTAATGCACAAATAATCTCCCTCTCTCCCATTATCATTATTATTTTCGTATATATTCATTTTTATCGAATTTTTACTGGAATTTGCACTGCAGTACACAGTTTCAGGGAAATGGGTTAATAAAATAATTAGCAGCTCACTAACCCATTTTCCCAAATGCCTGGGTATCTGGGAAATTTTTTGTTTATTTAAGAAACTCTCTAAATATCCAGCCATTTGAGAAAGTTCTAACATCTTATAAATATACAACCCTGAAATTCCTGTAGGAATTTGGGAAATTTCCCAGATACCCAGGCATTTGGGAAATTTCCCAGATACCCAGGCATTTCCCAAATACCTATTTTAATAGAAAATGTAAATGCTGTCGTGACATGAGAGAAGGATAATGAAAAACCTCGACCGAAATATATTTTCCAAAAATGTGGAATATCTATCTTATTTACTCTGTGAGGGCTGGAGCATCATCAACACCAAATTTTAAATCTATGCTTTCTGTGGGGTCGATATAATATTTCTGAATTTGATTTATTTTTTGAAATTTTAATTAATAACAATGATGAAAATAACAATCATTAATAGTTGAAATAAAAATAGCATAGTAATATTGATTAGAAATGGCAAAAGACGTTTTTCAGAAAAAATTACAAACTTCATTTAATAAATTTTAATATTAAAGTATTGAAAAAGTTGATAGTTTGCATATTTGAGGGATTGTGTGCCAGTGTTAAATATTATTTAGAATCAATTATCTATTATTTGCATATATTAAGATACGCTTAATTACTCAGATCCATTTAAAGTATAATCGGCGGCAAATTAACGGTTTTGTCTTGTCCTGTAAGCGGCGGTAATTAATATTTTTTGCATAATGACAATTTTGAGTTATTTGTCGAGATAAACTGAATAATTATTCTGCCCCAAGGTGTAACGGCTAGTAAAGCGGAACTTGGAGTATATATAATGAATATATATCAAGACACCCTGCAGATTAACTAACCAGGGCGAGATGCGTGCAATTTCTTCAATTTGAATTCAATCCCGTTTTGGCTGATTATTCAACTATTTTTAAACTTACGAGACCGTTCCTAGTATTCCTAGTATACTCATTAAAAACGCTTCTACCAACATATGCAAGTATAAAATAAAATAGCGCAATTGTGATCGAAAATCACAGCTGGGTGGGACAAGGGCCAAACTGTTAAATGAATGAAAAATTTAAATTTTTAATTATCTTATTTTGAACTAGATTTGGAACTCAGATTTGCGTTGAAGGAAGTTTTTCTGTATTAAAGTCAACCTATAACTCAACTATCATAACTTGATACAAACTATAGGTTTCCACGAAACAGTAGATTCTCTTGCGCAACAACTTATCGTTTTTGCACAAAATGACTTGTTTCGCACGAAATTTCGCATCAATTTTATATCAATACTAAATCAGTTTTGCACGAAATTTACTTATTTATTTGAAATAAATCATTTTTTGCATGAAATTGCGCATTAATACAGAATCTAAGTCATAATTTTTGCATGCTTTTGTGCATGAAAACAAGGTCGAATTTTTTGCATGCAATTGGGCAATGCTCATGATAACGAAAAATTGAAATTGTTTTACAATATTGTGCATTCATTCATTCATTAATTAATTCATTTCCAGAAAGTATTTCTCTAAATTTAACGAAATTGCTCGAAATAACAAAATAGGCCAAAATAAGGAAATAGATCGAAATAATATAATAATAAAGCAGGAAACAACGAATATACTAAAAAACCAAAATTTTCTTCAGAATTTGCGCGAAATACCTTTTGCGCATCAATGCGAAATTATATCAAAATTTCGTGAGATTTTTACTCAAAACATGAGAAAATCTGATATAGATACTCCAAGATTATATAATACTATAAGAGTATATAGTGGGAAGGGAAGAGGATATTCAGTATATTGAGGAGATAGGATGCACTATATAGATATATTGTATGTATGCAGATCTATCCAAACAATTTAAATAGAATTCAACTCAAGGTCTAAAAGATGTGTATGAAAGGGGGGGGGATTTTGAAATTAAATTATCTTATTTCTCTCTTTAAGCATAAAATTTTAGATGTGAGATATGTAAACTTCAAGGTTGACCAAATATGAAATAGAAGATATGAAGAAAAGTATATTCTACATTGACAATACATTTTTATGAAACTAAATGTAAATTGCCTAAATATAAAGGATCAAATTGATCGAGTTTTTGCCACAAACTCAAATTTCTAATTCCTCTACACTCTAAGAAATGGAAAATTTTCCTTTAACTGTTGGAGCCAAGGTACTAATGCAAGGAAAGTTAATTGCGGTCGCGTATACTCTGCGTACATATTGAAACCAGTTCTCTCTGGGCGGACTTTGTAAACAAGAAAAGATGCATCAGTGTTAGTTTAGTATCCGGTTAGGTTAAAAGAATTTAATTTTGATAATTTTGAAAATTCACATAATAGTTTCTTATGACTAGAAGATTTCATAGATTATTTTTGTGAAAATGGATTCCATGTTAGGCTGTGATATCTGTCTTGTGTTTACTTTTCCGCCAGAAGACAGCAAACTGCACTACAAAAAATGCGCACACCTCTGAAATAACTTTCCTTGCATTAGTACCTTGGTTGGAGCAACGAAGCCAAATGCAACCTAAAGAAGTTAGAATAAGGGCAGTTTCAGGATTTAAGATGGGATGGGGGGGTAAAAACTTTATTTTCGGGCGAAGCGCGACAAAAAAAAATTTTACCTCCCCCCTATATTAATTTTAACCACCCCCCTATAATCATATAAAAAGAAATTCCCCCCTACCCCTCTTTTGCTAAAAAGTTCTATTTACCGCCCAGGCAAATTCTACAAAAAAAAATACAATTTCTTTATAGTATAGGGTAGGCAAATGTCTTAATAATCCATTTCTTTATCTAAAAACGATAGAAAAAAAATTATTGATTGAATTTTATACATCAACATCATACATATTATATTATTCTTGCTAATTTTTCTGGCAGGAGACTGCAAGTAGTTTCTAAGTTTATTTTTAGAGTTAAAAATAACCAAAAGAAGGCTGAAAGTAAATAAAAGAATTTTGTTCAAAATTTTTTTTTCATGTCACTTTGCCTTACTTAATATCAATAATATTTTCATGTACAATTTCTAAACTTCCCCTATTTTTTTCTAAATAATCCCTAGGGATTATTTAGGTCCATTGACCTCTCATTATTTCTGGATAAACTTGTTTAATATCTACAGAGGATATACGTACCTAAGACAAGGACTGATATCTATTCCACATTGGTGTCTGTAGTTTATCATCGTATCAAACCTCTGTACAGCTTGAGTGGTTCTAAATAAACTTTTCTTTCTTTCTAAAAATAAAACAAATCATAGGAAAATTGTCTTTGAAGTCAGAACTTGTGTGGTGTGATTAAGCATTGATAATCATCTAGCTTGCAACCCTACAGAGTAAATCTTTTTTCTCGATATCCCATGGTGGTCATTAATTAAGTATTTATTCTCAAATTTAAAAGTTCCCACAATGGATAACGAGATCAAAGGAGTAAAATTAACGATATACCACTCAAAAGTTCTGATCTCTAACTTTTCAGATTAAAAAAAACCTGATATCCCAAAGTTTAGCACCATCGGCCACTGCTACGGTTGCAAACAGATCATATCCCCTCTCTCCATATGATTCTCCTTAAACAATACTATAAAAAGACACAATAGAAATAAATATACTTTATTTATCGTTTATTTATATATTTATATATTTATCGTATTTTCTTCAAGATGAAATTTAATCACACTATCTACAAGGTTTGTCATATTCTTTCCTTCAATTTTATTTGAGGGAAGGTGTTTCGTTATTTCTAAGCGATCAAAAAATAATTGAACAATAAAATGCGGATGAAAATGTAAACTTTATATCATGGAAGTAAAACATAGAACAGAAGTATGTACTTTACTGTATTTTATGTACCGAAAGTTCCCTCAGATTGTACAATCTTATGTACAACTCTACTGTGTGCACTCTTGTACTCTCTAAACAAAAAATAAAACTAGAGAAAAGTTAGCTGTCTATTCTTATTAGTGTTCCATGCGCAAAAAGTTTTTATTAAATATATTTTAGGAAAGTTTGGCCAAATTTGGTTAAGATTGCTTTTAAAATAATAAAACGTGCATTTCTATGTTCATTTAAAAAAACAAGCCTTTGAGAAATTTCAAAACTATTGCTTTACAATATACATGCAGTCAGTTTGGAATTCTTAAAGTTTGAAATGCAAATTTTACAAATTATCTTGAGTCAATGTAATCGTAATAATTACTCATTTGATAAAAAAGTTCAATATTTGTAGTAAATAGAAGAAATGGATAAAAAAGTTCAATATTTGTAGTAAAAAGAAGAAATGGATAAAAAGGGTTTACCTGACAATTTTTAGCTGATTTAAATCCAGAATTCGTATTCCCTGGCAGGAATATCATTCTAGGAAAAACTAACTTCTCAAAACCTCCAAATATTCAAATAAAACGTATAATTAAGTTGTTCCCTTATTTTCTAGCTTTACCAATACAATCTACTGATTTTGAAAGCGCAGAGGAGAATAAGTAAACCTGAGATGTACATTAATATTATTATGTACTGTGGACAGCGTTTATATCAATACAATGACGACGACTTTTCTTTTTCCGTTTTAATTTCTAACAAGGTTCTTTTTAAATCACAAGTTCACAAGTTTCCATGTTTATATATGTATCCAAGATCGGTAGAAATAAAAGTCGTCTTTAATGTATTGATTTATATGACGTCAACTGTATAATGTAAGTCTATACTTAATGGTTTGATTTGACAATTATAATTAGAATGATTTCCTTGTCTGATGTTGCTAGGATTGATATGTAGGAATAGAACTGGTTTACACAGCTAGCTGAGCTGATCTGCTTACAATTCTCTAGTCCTAGTTTACCAGCCTATATAAATATATATATATATATACAAGGATTAAACTAGTTTACACAGCTAGCTGAGCTGATCTTCTAACAGATCCCTAGTCCTAGTTTACAGTTATGTAGCTGAACTGGCTTTTATGTTTCTATGTCTTCTTCCTTTAAACTATGTTTGTTAAAATGTGTATAATTACCAATTTAAAACTGCCCTTTTCCCCTTGCTTGCTTGGTAGACTTAGATTGTACACAAACACCTGAAAAAAGATAAAAATTTTAATTTAAAGGATAAATTTGCGAAGAATGATAGACTAAAAATAGTGACACAAAATTTGAATTCATAATCGATCAGCATGTAATTTATACAATTTACATGCTTTTGTAATTATCATTTATTTTTAGTTTACTTGTAATAATCATTTTTTTAATTTATTGGTAATAATTATTTATTTATAATCATTTGTTATAATTATTTATTTATAATCATTTGTTATAATCATTCCAAACGGTAACCATTAAACCTTTGACGGACCAAGTATGACAGATTTTTCCTTGTAATAGTTAAGCACTTTGTTAACAAGCTGTTTTATATTTAAGGAATAGTAATATTTACTTTCTAGAAGGAGGAGAATTTTTGAACATTTTTCCCATGTGACGTTGAGCTTACAATTTCACGGCTTTTTACACATCATTTCTGAGATACATACACTGAGGTCTCAGTCCTCAATGATCAGTCAAAGGTTAAAAAGTTATTTTTCTGTGTCTTTAAATGGAAAGTCACTTGAAATTACGGAAACAGTCTCTTTAAGTTTTGTTTGAACCTGGTTTCCAGCAGTTGTAAGAAGGAAGGAATCAAGATAGAAGAAGTTTATAGAACTTATACTATCTTTTATAATCGGACTCTCCTAATCCATCTCATTCATAAAACACCAAAAATAATCAGTTTATGAAAATTTGAATTTAAAAAAAGTAAATTTAAATTAACAATTAAAGAATTAGTGAATTTAAAAAGCAATCAAGTAAAAAGGAAACGGAGTTACGCTGTTTACACAAAGTATTTCACAAATGAATCAATTAAGCAACTAACCAATTATCAATTAATTTACTAAACAATGTAAACTAAAAATCGTAGTTTATGAATTAGTTTCCTTGTTAGTTTTCCTAAAATAACAAACAAAATATTATTAAAAATTATTTGAAAACATTGTTTAACGAATTTAACGAACTGATCGCAAAAAGATTAAAAAAAAGTAATAATTGTTTTTTTTGCATGAGGTTATATTCTTTTTTTTTTTACCAATTTTAATAGTTATTGGTTTATACTCATGTTATATCACAAAATCACGTTTAACTGTTTGATACATTCTCTTTAGCAGTTTACACTTACCTTAGTACTCCGTAATTAGCAGTTTACACTTACCTGAGTACTCCGTAATTTTCCTCGAAATATCCTCCACGTTTACTGTTTATATCCATTATAACTCTTCTAAATATATCCATTATAACTCTTCTAAATATATCCATTATAACTCTTCTAAATATATCCATTATAGCTCTTTTATATATATCCATTATATATATTTTCTATATATATTCACTATAACTCTTTTGAATATCCATTTAAACTCTTCTAAATATATCCATTTAAACTCTTCTAAATATATCCAGTATAACTCTTCTAAATATATCCATTATAACTCTTACAGATATATTCGTTTTAACTCTTCTAAATATATCCATTATATTTCTTCTAAATATATCCATTGTAACTCTTCTAAATACATCCATTATAACTCTTCTAAATATATCCATTATAACTCGTAAATATATCCATCATAAATCTTCTAAATATATCCATTAACTCTTCTAAATAAATCCATTTAAACTCTTCTAAATACATCCATTATAACTCTTCTAAATATATCCATCATAACCCTTACAGATATATCCGTTTTAACTCTTATAAATATATCAATTATAGTATTCTAAATATATCCATTATAACTCTTCTAAATATATCCATTATAAGTCATCTAAATATATATCCATTATATTTCTTCTAAACAGATATATCCATAATAACTTTTCTACAGGTATATTTTAAGGAACTGCTGAACAAATAAAAGACGACATCCCATAATTTAAAGAAATGCTTGGCAAAAAAATCTTTACCTGGATTTCCAATCCCATAATTTCATCATCATATCCTGTCCCCCACTCACCAACCAGTCTCCTGTCCTGATTCACAATTAAAAAATAAATATATTTTTAAAGCTTAGTTGTCTCCAGTTAGAACTAATTACTTTTCTAATAATCTAATTTTATAATCCAATTATATCTTTGTAAAATTCATGCAGTAGAGTGTCATATAAAAGCTGCTAGACCAAGAAGTCAGCGTATGAAATATCACCCATGAGCTTAAAATGATTTAAGGATTGGACAATTTGAGTTTGGTTCCAGTATTCAGTTTCTTTTATTTCTTGACTTCTGCGTTATTATTCGATCATGTTTAAACTGACCTGGAGAAATCGATATCATGAACAGGAGCTGTGTGTCCTACAAGCCTGTGTCCAACATCAGGTTGAACCTCAACAACCTTGTTTCCACCTCCAGCAGTTGGAGCACCAGCAACAGTTGTTAGATCAGAGTTCCCTGAATTAAAAGATATTTTATTTTGTATGTTGTATCCTGTATCCAGTGTTTTAAGAACTTAAACCTTGTTTCTTGTATCCTGTTTCATATCTGTAATTTAAACCATGTATCCTGTATCCTGTGCACACCTAGAACTTGTATTTTGTATCCTGTATCCTTTTTCATAGAGCTCGAACTGTGTTTCCAGTTTTTTTTTGTATCCTGAGATGGAATTTAAAGAATTTGAGCCGTGGTTTAAATCTGCCAAAACCCGGTTTAAATTAAGCGCCGGCTTAAGTCTTGAAACATTTGATACAATTTTAAGTGGAACCAACCATATTTAAGCCACTGTATCCTTACCTTACCTAGAACTTGAACTGTGAATACTGTATCCTGTATCGCGTTTCCCGTATCCAGTATCGTGTATCCTGTATCCTGTTTACTGTTTCCTACCTAGAACTTGAACTGTATATCCTGCTCCTGTGACAGCAATATTCTTCATTGAAACACACAACTTGGATACACTGGGCTCATCACTTAACCTAAATATCTTACAGTCAATAATAAGTTAAGACAAGAACAGAGAGGTCAGAAATGAAAGCGGTTCAATTTGTTCTAGTTTAAACTTATAAGAATGGACAAACTTTATGAAATATTATTATTATATGAAGTAAGTTCACACTTTCTGTGGTTTTTCAGTTTGGATTTATTTTTAAGGTGCATTTTAAATGACAACATTTCATGTCTAATCAACTAAGTTCATGAAATATCCAATTAGGTCTTTTGTGGTGATGTGAGGTCATGTGAGGTCATTTTAGGTAAAAACTTATTCTTACCTTATCTTTGTTTGTAGTTTAAGGGCAAACTCCTCCGTTGAAGAGTAGGAGTAAGAATCCCTTAACAAATATTTTCCTAAAACCAGCATGTACAGAATTGTGCAGTACTGTACAGTTAGTTAATTACAGCACAATAAATCAAGGTAAACATTAGTATTAATAACAACATTACCCAATGGAAAGTTTCAGAAAAAGAAATCAGACAGAAGGAATATTAGTTTAAGAAGAAAAAAGGATTTAGTTCGACCTTTCTAATAATTTTGTTGAAGGACTCCATCTACTCCCCTCACTTTCTATACTCCACTTACTCCGTCCTACTTCAACACTAAACAAAACCAAATTATAAAAACTTAAAACTTATTTTCAAATTATAGAAGATTCAATTACTTTGAATGATGATCTTCTGGGTTCTGTAAAGTTTTTTTCAAGTGGTTTTTAGGATTTTTTTTCTCTTTTATCAGGGTTTTCTGGATTTTTGATTTCACGTTCTTCTTAGTTAGGTTCTTAAGGGTAGTGTTCTCATTAACATCATTCTTGGATTTCTTGACCTCCTCCTTTGATTTGTTGACCTCGTTCTGGAACTCCTTACCCTTCTTCACCTCCTTGACCTCCTCATCCTCCTCGTCCTCCTCAACCTCCACTTCATCCTCCCCCTCTCCCCGACTAGGATTCCTTAATACAGGTTCACTTGATGTCCGCTCCGACATCTGAAATTTAAGAAAATATTTTTTTTCTTAAAAATATTTTAACTATACAAAATAAAAATTGTAAATCTTGTTTTGGGCCAATATTTGCTTAATGAAATGTGAAGAACAACAAATTTATACAATAGTAATGACTTTTATTTATTCCAGAGACAATTTTATGATAACACATGAAATAAAATGAACTTTTTGCGATTTTACATCAAGATTGCGATAGCAACTGAAAAGTCTTTTTGCGATTTTACATCAAGATTGCAATAGCAACTGAAAAGTCTTTTTGCGATTTTACATCAAGATTGCAATAGCAACGGAAAAGTCTTTTCCGATTTTACATCAAGATTGCAATAGCAACTGAAAAGTCTTTTTGCGATTTTACATCAAGATTGCAATAGCAACTGAAAAGTCTTTTTTTGGGAAACTATCTAACCCTTCATCTTTTACCTGAAATCTGAATAAAGATCTTGATTTCTCGATGAGACTGTCCGAGGCTGGCCGAGATATTTCTGATGAAAAAAAATTTTTAAGCAGAAAATAGAAAAAGCTCACATCTCTTCATTTTGTATTTTTCTGCCATGTTTTTTTAAAAGCTTATTACAGGGAGTGTTCAGTAAAAATCATTCACAAAGCTATTAAATCTTATAGGGTACCAGTACAAACGTCAGACCTACAAAACGTCAGACGGAACAAAGGTCGGACAGTACAAACGTTTGACTGGCGCAAACGTAGGACAGTACAAACGTCGAACTAGTAAATACGACAGACTGGCACATTTAACAGAAAAACGTCGGACTCGTAAAAAAAATCGGTTGATTAGACCATTGTTATAAGTTAAAACATACTTTTTAAGATAAAAATCAAAGATTAAAGCCAAATTCTAAAGTCTCATCTGTTGTGGGTACCACCGTAAAAACAAAAGAACAATTTTTAAATGATTTTAATTTTGTACTGGTCCGACATTTGCACTGTTCATCGTTTGTACCAGTCCGTCGTTTGTACTAATCCGACGTTTGTACTTGGACCTCTTATAATAGGCTTCAAAGTACAAATAAAGAAATATTGAATTCAAACAATTAAAAAAGTTACCTAAATCTGGATCCTGCATTCTGCAGCTAGCGTAGAACAGGGAGTTCTTCATTGGTCCGGGAGGAGCGGATTTATTTATTTTTGGTTCAAACATTTTAGATCGAGGCTCCTCCTTTCCATAACCAGAGGATTTTATATTCTAGATGAAACACTCTTTCAGACTTTTTTTTGGAAATAAAAAAAAATGTATTACCATTAATTTTAGACTTAATGAATTTTAGGGAGATAAATTGTAATATATTTATATATATGCATAAATATAAATTTATATATTGGTAAAAAATATAGTTTTTTAAATCAAAAATGGTTTGAAAAGCTTTCTTAGCGAATTAACACTTTTTAATCGAGTTTTTTCGTCCAGTAGTTTCATTCGCATATACACTATACAGGGTTACCCACAAAGGATGAGACTTATGAGAATGTATTTCTTTCGCCCTTTTTATTAAATTCATCGCCTTCACTGGTTTCTTTCATTGCCAAATCATGAACTTTAGCTCGTCCTTTGTTGGTAACTCTGTATGCAAAAGATTTATCGACAGCGTTTGTTTTAAAGCAAGATGCTGGTTAGTTTGAAAGAATTTAAAAGAGTGTTTCCTTAGTTTTAGTATCTGCAGATTGAGGGCTGCCCCCCTTGGTTCCTCTACTCCCTGGGTTTGGTTTGACCATCTTGTTATTGATATTGTTTATGTACGGCTTGTTGTACGAACCAGTTCTCAGGATGTGCTTGTACAATGGTATACGCCCTAATGTAAAAGCAAATGAAAAAATTGTTTTAGATTTGATCTTCTTTTTCTCAATTTTAACCTTTTTTGATAATTTCTAAGCTTTGCTTTTTCCAAGTGTGATGCTTATCTCTTAAGTCAAGAATGGAACCCTATTAATAATTACAATTAATTTTAATTGCGGTTTTACTGTAAAAATGCAATTCAGATATGTACAGGGAAGAAAACTATCAGAATCTATTAATGAAGAGTCATTTGAAATTACGTTTACATTCCCTTTCTCAGCCTTAACACGTCTTCTGTTGTCGTCATCCAATATCTTGATCGACGCCATTTTGATTTGATTATCAAGGTTGGAGAGAAATAATACTGTAAGGGTGTCTTTGTTTTGTTTAATTCTGGCCTGAACAGCCATACTGTTAAACGTCGAACTGTGCAATATTCTTGAGAACTCCAGGGTTTGCAGCATCTCTCCGGACCTAAAAATAAACACAAATATATAATTCTGAATTTCTTTTTTTTTTGTCAATGTGACCTTTTTTTTAACAATGAGGTTTATTAAAATATTAACCTATAAAAAAAAGAAAACTGTCCACTGTCCTCCTGTCCACCAAGAATGACAAAAAAATTGATACTGTCGTTTCTAAAGTCTTATCCCTTGTAGATACCCCTGTTCGTTAATTTAACTAGAAGTATACCTTAAATTTAGAATCCCAACGCCCAGGTTTGTGACGAAGACGACATTTTGTTTTGTATTCAATATTTCATCCACAACCTCACCTTTACTATAAAAGGAAACTTTTAGTTAATTGCAGTCGCAACATTTATTTCTGTAGACTTTCCCAGAATCAAGTAAATTAAAGCACGTTTGAATTTTAAGTTAAGTAGTTTAATTTATAGTTTTTATTCAACCCAAACCGAAATATATTTTCAATAAAATGTGGAACTAACATCTATTTTTTTATTCCATCCATTTGGTCCATCACGATCACCGAATTTTAATAATTCAGAAAGCTTTTCTTGGTTTTAAGTATGGTCGTCTGTTCTAACCTAAGTAGACTGGGTAAACCTTCTGATTGATGTTCTACACGCTGCAGAGGTAAAAGTTCAATGTCTAAAACATCACAGCCAATATTTTCTTCTTCTTCTCTTCCCCGTCTAGCAAATATAATTCACAATAAGTTTACAAAATGTGTATGAAATCATAGATTAATTAAAATAACAGATAGGACACTAAATATCCCACAATAACCCTGAGGCAGAAGCCCAGAGGTTTCGCGCAGTCGGCGTAGAACAAGCGCTCTCTGTATTATAATTCTACCCGAATGAGTGAAACTCCTCTGGGTTATTGTGAACGAGTTTCATCCAAATCTTGAAGAGGCGACATCTAGTGTCTTATGTGTGTTATTTTAATTAATATATGTATACAATCATGTATTTACCTTAATTCAACTTTTGTGATGAACTTTCTTCTTTTCTTGGTGAAAAAATAGAAATAAATTAATCCTCCGCAGTCTCCTAGAATTAATTTAAGATGTATTCAAGAAATTGGCTGAAAAAAAAAATATGTAAACCTAGTGATAAAATGTCGTCTTTGTACGCCAGACAGGTCAAAGGTTGACGGCCAGCCTTCAAACTCTCCACGGGTTTTCCAAAATCACTTTTTACCTAAATTAAGTAATCAATGCATATTGCACATGATAGACATGCTGCAGGGTGTTCCAACGAAAATGGTAATTATATTAAGTCACAAATCTTCTTTGATAATTTTATTGTAAATATATGATTTTATTTTTCACAACATCTGTCCAAAATAAATTGTGGCCATGTTTTTGAAGATCCTGTATTTATAAACATAACATGGGGTTTCTTTTTAAATTTTATATAAGTGATGCAAAAATATACCATAGACCATATTTTAAGGGCTCTGTCCTGTCCAACAGCACATAGCAAACCAATAGTAGGTAGAATAATAAAACGAGAAATATCACTAGATGTCTCTACTGTACCAATCATATGCACTTCCTTCAGGGACATCCGTATTCCTAATATGATTATAATTATTTAGAACATTTGAAACAATGTTTTCTAAATTTTTTTAGTTTTGAACAGACATGTATTTTAAATCAACATAACATGTTATTTAAAATAAAATTGACATTCCTTTTATTTTACTTTTTATCCAAAAAAGTAAATTCTTCTTTTTACCTGATTTCATATTGTAAGCCAAACAAATGATAGATATGGAATTTCCTGAACCTAATCCAAGTAGTCCTCTCTTGTCTCCCTGAAATAAAAAGAACATTAACTTACAAAAAAATGTCAATTATTTTATTTAGCATTTACATTAAACCATTTCAAACCTTTTTAAGAGTTAGCGCACATTCTGATATGTGTCCCATGTCCTTTGCTACGGTTATTCCAGCTTCTCTTTCTCCGTCCTCTTTATCCTTAATAATGCTTGGTCAAAAAGTCGTCTTCTTGAAACCATTTTCAAAAAACATTAAAATGTTGGTATTTGTGGTAAAATTACCTTTAACACAGCTAAATCCCAGAGAATAACTGTAGTTGAACTGCAGGTAACAAGGCTTAACTTAACATATTGTCATATTTTAACGTCGAATTAAAAAAAAGTTATTTAGAAATTTCCCCCCCCCCCCTCCCCAGCTCCTTCCCTTGCAATTTTCAGCGTATAAAAGAACGGATACTTAATAGACAAAGACCCCCCCTTCCAAAAAAAATCATGCAAACCTCTGTATCTGAAAACACTGCTGAAGTAACTGTATCCTCATGGCCCCTTGGAAAGAAAATCGTATTCAAGGAATGAAGATTTTGGATTCAAACTAAATTAAATGTGTGTGCGGTTGGTTTTCACAATGTTTCAATAATACTTTTTTTATTAGGTGATAAACGGAAGCCTTTTACCAGCAATTCAATTTAATATTTTGCAAGAAAAAGTTTAAAATAGCAAAAAAAAATTTTGTACTGATATCTGAAATTTAATTTAACAATTGATTTATGTGTGAAAAACGAAGATATAAAAAAAAATTTTTTTAAAATAATCAAAATGCCACCTGAGATATCTCGGAGATATTGACGGTAGACTCCATAGAGCTGGTAGGGTCGGAGAAGGACAAGTTAGGGCAAACAAACGACCCTGAAAATATCAAATATACGGTTTGCCTACTGATGGTTTTTAGGTACTTATTTAAACATTTAACGTATTTAAACTTGTATTAAACCCCACAAGAATCTGAGAAAATTTTAACACCCAAACATTTATTTTTGATATTTTCAAAATATTTGGTATTATAATGGTCCCTACATTCTTCTCATCTATTCATTGGTTCAGAATTCTGCTAAATTTGATGTTTGTTTTTTAATTCTGATATTTCTGGTTTGTTGCAAAAAAGTTTAGCTCATTATATGTTTCTAAATTCAATATCTGCTGCTGACATTAAACCACGAACAATAATAATAATGAAATAATATTCCTAGAAGGTTTTCTGGAATTTGCTATCTCAGCACGTTTGTAGATTGTTAAATGTTGATAACTATACTAAATATAGATCTATACAGAATTAATGTTTCCTAGCTCTGTTGCAGGGTGAGGAAAGAAAAAGGAACACTGCACCAAACATGGAATTTTGAAAATTTAAAGGACCCATATGTCAGAATCTCCATTTATAAATAATGACAAATGTGATAAAAGGAGTTTTGGCCAGGAGTAGATTATCAACAGGAACCATATTCTACATGTAGACTAGAACCAAGACAAAGAGAACCATATTCTACCTGTAGACTAGAACCAAGACAAAGAGAACCATATTCTACCTGTAGACTAGAACCAAGACAAAGAGAACCATATTCTACCTGTATACTAGAACCAAGACAAAGAGAACCATATTCTACCTGTAGACTAGAACCTAGACAAAGAGAACCATATTCTACCTGTAGACTAGAACCAAGAGCTAAGCAAGGTGAGCGTCCTGTAGGTCCTGCTGTTAGAGGATGAAGATCAATCACATCCTTCATCCTATCTATAGATATCTGATAGAGTTTAAAGATAAGAAACATCTTTTTAATACTAGTTGCTTGCCTGATTCACAACTGTACCCTTTACACCAGGACCATAATCTCAAAACTATCCCAATTTTTATTTCTATAAAGTTCCGTCTTTGACTTTGCTGAATAAATCTATAACTTTATTGAAGAATCCACAATTTAATCAGGCATGTCTTTAATTTTAGGATCACATAAAATAACGTTATCTGTCCCTGTAAAGATAAAATGTTAAGTAAAAGACATGTTTGAAAGCCACGTGAACAATGTTAGTGCAAGAATACTGATATTTCATATATCGATTAAACTTTTATAAAAGATAGTGATTCCCCAGGGCTAGAGATCCCTCCCCCCCCCATCTA